CGTGGGGGGCTGCCCTGATCCTGGGCCCCGCAGCTGCAGAAGCTGCTGCAGATGCGGCGCAAGGGGGCGTCGGAGGAGGAGCCGCGGGACAGCGGCAGCGAGCCCCGGGGCGACGAAGACGACATCCCGCTGGGCCCCCAGTCCCACGTCAGCCTGCTGGACCAGCACCAGCACCTCAAGGAGAAGGCTGAAGGTGGGCAGCCAGGCCGGGCGGGGGGCGCGGGCTGGGGGTGCCTGTGGGCTGCGGCCCCTAACCTGACCTCGCTCCCTCACCCACAGCCCGCAAGGAGTCGGCCAAGGAAAAGCAGCTGAAGGAGGAGGAGAAGATCCTGGAGAGTGTGGCCGAGGGCCGAGGTGCGTCCGCGGGTCTGCTCCCCTCGCCCCGCACTGTGGCGTGCTTGGGCCTGCAGAGCGAGAGCCCCAGGAGCTGCTCGCCTGCTGCTCCCTTCCCCCGGAGCCGGGTCCCAGCCGCTCCCTAGCGAGCGCCTCCCAGCCCGGGGCCTACGCGGTCCCAGAGTCTGGGCGTCCACCCCTGCGCAGCAGCGCTGGCTGTGTTGGCCTCCGTGTCGCGGCTGCTCGGAGCCAAAGCGGCGCCCCGTGAGCCGCCTGCCGCAGGCCCCTTTCAGCTGAATTGTTTTTTGACTTCCTCACAGCGCTGATGTCTGTGAAGGAGATGGCAAAGGGCATCACATACGATGACCCCATTAAAACCAGGTGCGTTCCTGGGATCGCGGCTGCAGCGGAAGGGAAGGGGCTGCCCTGTGGGCTCGCGCGCAAAGCACTGGGCTGGGCTCTGGCAGCCTCCTTGCACCCCCAGCTCTGCCGCAGGCCCTCCGGGTGACACCTGCGCAGACTGACGCCAGGCAGGACCGAGCAGGGTGTGGGCGTGGGCGAGGGGAGGTGTTCCCGCCTTGTCCCGGTAAGGAGCCGTGTCCCATGCAGCAGAGGAAAGTGAAAGGCTGCCCCTTCCCCACTGCACCCTGGCACCACGTTGCGGGGCAGGCGAGAGCTGCAACTAGCCAAGAGACAAGAAAGGCAGAGTAGGGAGTCGAGGGCACAGTGCAGGACCTGGACTTGGCCGTGGGCTCCCCCGTCACTGGCTTACACGAGGGGAAGGTCCCTTGTGGGCTGGGAGAGTGGGGGGGGCTGTTTTGGCTTAGGGCCACACTGAGCTTGGTGTCCTCAGGGACAAGGGAGAACACTGAGCGGGTCTGCTCCGGGCTGACCCCCTCTGTGTCCTGGTCAGCTGGCGGGCGCCGCGCCACATCTTGGGCATGTCGGAGGCACGGCACGAGCGTGTGCGCAGGAAGTTTCACATCCTGGTGGAGGGTGAGGGCATCCCACCGCCCATCAAGAGCTTCAAGGAGATGAAGTTCCCTGCAGGTGATGCAGGGAGGGGGTGTTGCTGGATGGGGGACACAAGTGTGTGGAGGAGTGCAGACCAATGCAGAGCTCCCTTAGCCAGGTCGCAGGTCATGAGGAGAGCGTGGCTTCGTGCCCCCCAGTCCTCTGTCTGCTGGCCAGGGGCCTGGGTGGATGCGTGTTGCTGGCCCAAGGTGGCGTGGGGTCCGGTGGAGGGGCTGCAGTGCCATGGTGCTGACCCCTCCCTGCCATCACGTGCACAGCTATCCTGCGGGGCCTGAAGAAGAAAGGGATCCAGCAGCCGACACCCATCCAGATCCAGGGCATCCCCACCATGTGAGTGCTTGGCCTAGCTGTGGTGCTGCTTCGTTCCCTGCCTAGTGGTGTGGGTGGGGTGGCGTGGCTGGCTGCTGGCAGCACCCTGGCTAGGTGGCTGGCAGGGCATCCTCAGCCCTGGGCTGACCCTGCGTCTCTGGCAGCCTCTCCGGCAGGGACATGATTGGCATCGCATTCACTGGCTCCGGGAAGACCCTGGTGTTCACCCTCCCAGTTATTATGTTCTGTCTGGAGCAGGAGAAGAGGTTGCCATTCTCCAAGAGGGAGGGGCCCTATGGGCTCATCATCTGTCCCTCGGTGAGCACACATGCCCCTACTGCGGGGTCACGATGAAGGGATGTGGGCACCAGCGCATGAGAACTGTCAGGATGGGGTAGCTGCAACAGGCGTGGGGTGGGGCCGGGGAGGCAGGTGTTAGTGCCAGCCAGCTGGGAGCCTTGTCTTTGGGGTGACAGACTGTTCTCTGCAGCGGGAGCTGGCCCGGCAGACCCATGGCATCCTGGAGTACTACTGCCGCCTGCTGCAGGAGGATGGGCTGCCCCCGCTGCGCTGCGCCCTCTGCATCGGGGGCATGTCTGTCAAGGAACAGATGGAGACCATCAAGCAGTAAGTCCTGTTCGCTGGCCGGTCAAGGCAGCACCGGCAGAGCTCTTGCTCTGCTACCTGGGCCTGGCACCAAGGGACAAGATCACATGCAGCAGTTAGCTATCTCAGGCCTGCCCGGGTGGTTGCTTTGAGCCTGGGGGAGGGCTCTCAGCCTGAGCTCGCAGGATGGGCACATGGGAGGCCACGCAGCATAGCTGCTTTCTGCCCTGTGCTTGTTTTCTGCCTGCAGTGGTGTGCACATGATGGTGGCCACGCCCGGGCGCCTCATGGATCTGCTGCAGAAAAAGATGGTGAGCCTGGACATCTGCCGCTACCTGGCGCTGGATGAGGCTGACCGCATGATCGACATGGGCTTTGAGGGAGATATCCGCACCATCTTCTCCTACTTCAAGGTACTGGCGGGGAAGCCAGTGAGCATGGGCTCCTGCCCCTGGGGCCTGCTGCCAGCAGAATGCCCTCCCATGCTGTGGGTGCTGCCCAGTTTCAGGCCACCTCCTGGCTGTCCAAGGGGATGGTGGTGCTATGGCTGGATTTCCTGCTGCCTGGGCAGACTCCTGCTGGCTACCACAGTGGCTAGCAGCTCAGGCGTCTCAGCCCTAGGGCTCTGCGCTGTCCTGGGCCTGTGGTTCCACATGGCTCCCATGGTTGCCAGGCTTCCCAGTTACCACACCTGGCTTCTGGCCCATGGGGCACAGCCACTGGGCATGGCTGCCGCCGCAGTAGACGTATGAGACTCGTGGAGTAACATTGGGTCATGTTCACTTGCCTGCCTGGCTCTTGCAGGGCCAGCGGCAGACCCTCCTCTTCAGCGCCACCATGCCCAAGAAGATCCAGAACTTTGCCAAGAGTGCCCTGGTGAAGCCCATCACCATCAACGTGGGGCGAGCGGGAGCAGCCAGCCTGGATGTTGTGCAGGTGAGGGCCTGGAGGACCCCAGTGTCTACATGGGAAGGGGACACTCACACAAGCAGGCTCCTAGGGTCTGAATGTCCCCAGCCTTTCCCTGCTGAGGGCTCAGGGCACAGCAGCTGGGTCGCATGTGCTCTGCTCTGACTTTTGCCACATGCTCATGCACAGGAGGTAGAGTACGTGAAGGAGGAGGCCAAGATGGTGTACCTGCTCGAGTGCCTGCAGAAAACCCCACCGCCTGTGAGTTCCACGCTGCAGCTGTTTGGGGCTTGGGAAGCCTGTGGGTGATGGGGCCCAGCCCAGATGGGAGCTGCTTGGGGTGACGAGAGAGGCTTCTGGCACTGTCAGTGCTGTCAGCCCCTGGGCTAGGGCAGGAGGGCCCACGAGCCTGCACCTGTGAACTGTCTCTCCAGGACCCAGTGGGGGTTGGGGAAGGAGGGCAGCACTGTCACCTGGCCAGCTAGGTGGGGCCCTGGTTCCTTCCAGCAGATGCTGGGCCTGCGGCCCCTGACACCAGCTCCTGCGGCAGGTGCTGATCTTTGCGGAGAAGAAGGCAGACGTCGACGCGATCCACGAATACCTGCTGCTCAAGGGTGTGGAGGCCGTAGCCATACACGGAGGGAAAGGTCAGCACAAGCAGTGGGGGGATGTCTGCCGTGTGCACCCGTGGGGGCCACATGCAGCCTGCAGAGTGCTTCCCCGTGCAGTGGGAGCTGCCCACATGCCCCTGCAGGGCATGTGCTGGGCTCACCACAAGGGCAAGCCCTGTGCAAAGACAGTTGGGCTCAACTCCCATGTCTGAGCCATGGGTTGCACCAGGTCCCCCAGCCAACGTCAGTGCAGGGGGTGGGGGTGTTGCACTCGCAGGTTATGGTCCCTACTAACTGCTGGCGCCGGCCCCACAGACCAAGAAGAGCGGACGAAAGCCATTGAGGCCTTCCGGGACGGAAAGAAGGATGTCCTGGTCGCCACGGACGTGGCCTCCAAGGGCCTGGACTTCCCAGCTATCCAGCATGTCATCAACTACGACATGCCGGAGGAGATCGAGAACTATGGTGGGCAGATGTTCTGGGCCTTCCTGTGGGCCCCACAGGGTGTGGGCAGCTTACTGTGGGCACTGTGATGGGGGTGGAGGTGGGACACTTGGTGCTGGGCTTGGCTCCCGAGTGGCAGGAGCTGGGGGTCCATGTTCAGGCTCCTGCTTTGGTCCCCTGGGCCTGACCACACTTGTCTTCCCACAGTGCACCGCATTGGGCGTACGGGCCGCTCAGGGAACACAGGCATCGCCACCACCTTCATCAACAAAGCCTGCGGTGAGTGTGTGGGGGGTGGTCTGCTGGGCTGGGGCGCACTGAGCTGGGCAAGGTGTCCTCCATCTGCCTCGTGGGCATTGCCAAGCCAGTGATGAGGTAGCACCAGGTGGGTACTGGTGGAGCCATGAGGAGCCCAGTGGCTCAGGCGGTGTTGGCCCGGGGTCGGGACAGGGAGGGTATCGAGGGTGCTTCTCTTCTGTGGTCAAGCGGCCCTGTGCCCCGCACCATGAGGTGCTGCACTATGGGGGGGGCATTCTGCCATCCTTCCCCCCTGGGGCCCTGCTCTGCCCCACAGCCTTGTGCTCAGTGTGCCCTGCGCTGCAGGCTCCTTCTGGCATCTGTGCCTGGAGCCTGTGCTGAGCTGCCCCTCTGCCCCCAGATGAGTCAGTGCTCATGGACCTGAAGGCGCTGCTGCTGGAGGCCAAGCAGAAGGTACCACCTGTGCTCCAGGTGCTGCACTGTGGGGATGAGACCATGCTGGACATCGGAGGTGAGAGGCTGGGGGAGGCGGCACTTCTGCTGCCGTCCTGGCCCTAGAAAGGGCTCGGTCCTGTCCAGGGAAGGGGGCTCTGAGGCAGGGGAGGGCGAGAGCAGCTGCAGGTAGCCTGAGCCATGCGCCCTGGCAGTGGCTGCACTTCTGGGACTGATACTCTCCAAGAGCTGTGGGGGCTCCCCCATCCCGGGCAGTGCCCCTGCCCAAGCTCATAGTTTAGTTTCATAGTTTCTAGGGTCGGAAGGGACCTAAGTAGATCATCTAGTCCGACCCCCTGCCATGGCAGGAAAGAGTACTGGGGTCAAACAACCCCAGCAAGGTGGTCATCTAACCTCCTCTTAAAAAACCCCAGGGTAGGAGCCTGCACCATTTCTCTTGGAAGTTGGTTCCAGACCCTAGCTGCCCTGACTGTGAAGTCGCGCCTCCTGATGTCCAACCTAAACCTACCGTCCGCCAGCTTGTGACCATTATTCCTGGTCACTCCTGGCGGTGCTCGGGGGAACAGGGACTCCCCCAGTGCCTGCTGATCCCCCCTGACTAGTTTATAACAGGCCACAAGATCCCCCCTCAGCCTTCTCTTGTGGAGGCTGAACAGGTTCAGGTCCCATCGCCTCTCCTCATGGGGCCTGCCCTGCTGCCCCCGATCATGCGAGTGGCCTCCTCTGGACCCTCTCCATGCTGTCCTTCCTCACTCCGATCCTTCCTCCTGTTGCAGGGGAGAGGGGCTGTGCCTTCTGCGGGGGGCTGGGCCATCGCATCACAGACTGCCCCAAGCTGGAAGCCATGCAAACCAAGCAAGTCAGCAACATCGGCCGCAAAGATTACCTGGCCCACAGCTCCATGGACTTCTAGGGCTGCCTGCCGGGCACCAGCCCCTGCCCAGATGCTGTGAAGGGGTGGGGTGAGGGGAAGGTGGCTGCTCCCTGGACAAGTGCCAGTCACACCAGGAAGGCCACGTTAGCCCCAGGCTGCTGGTCCCTGCATGTCAGGCAGCCACACTGTGTCCTGCTCCAGGCCCCTGGTGCATGCCACCCATTCCCTGCTGCTCTAGAGAGGGGCTGCGGTTCTGGCACTGGGAGGAAGTGCTGTGACATGTGGCAATGGCCTCTTACATCAGCCCTACTGTTGACACGCTGAGATTGGGCAAGTGGGAGCCTCCGGGCCTGGTGCACAGCACCACCCAGGGCTCGGTCTGCCAGGGCCTGGCACAGGTATTCTGCCAGGATGCCTGTGGCCCTGCCAGGACTTCCCCAGTCTAGGGGATGCTCAGCATCTTCCTGGGGCTGCTGGGCTGGGCAGGAAGGGGCAGTCCTAGTCCTCAGCCCCACCCCCTTGCCCCGAATTGGGGCTGTGAGAGCCTGCCTTGGGTAAACTTGCAGCCCCGCCTGCCCGTTCTGCCCCACTGCTCTGTTCTGGCGGGGGCAGGGCCAGCTCCACGCCCCACACGCCAGAAAGGGGAAGTGGAGGCAGAGGGGAAGTCTGCCACTGCGCTCCTGCGGCAGCAGCCTCAGCTCCTGTGGCCAGCGGCTCCACAACCCAGGCAGCTCAGGCCATGGAGGGGCCTGTGAAGGATGGGATCCTTTATGTCCAGCACTTCAAATTTGGAAAGGTAACGGGCTGGGCACAGGAGCAGGACTAGGCCCCAGGCCTTGCTGACCAGGGGGAGGGGCGTGTGGTCTCAGCCCCACGGCACCGTGCCTGGGTGCTGGGGGAGGCAGCTGCAACCAGCAGTCCTAGTGGTCCTGATGCTGCTCCGGGTGCTGCCTGCAGCAGGCGCAAAGGGCAATAAAAGCTTTTACAGAGCGCAATGTGGTGTGTGTGTGAGGGGGACAGGTGCGGAAGCCCCTTGTCCTCCCTGGGGCTGAGTCCCCCTGCTCTGCCATTGTCCCAGGGTGGGCAGGGACCAGTGGTTGCCAGCAGCCCAGTGGGGATGGGGACGGGCTCAGTCCCCTCACAGGGCTTGGGTTTGTAGCCAACTACCCCACAAGTGCTGATACCCTGCAGCCACGGTCAGGCTCTGGCCCTCACAGGCAGCAGCTGCAGCCGGGAGCTTTCAAGGCAGAGCCTCGATTGCCCCCTGTCCTGGAGGTGCCAGGTCCCCCAGCAGCCTGCCCAGCCCAGCCTGGGTGACCTCACCAGGCATGGGGGAGATGCTTCCTGCAAGCTGCAGCCCTGCTGGACCAGTGATGGGCTGGGAGCACGGTTCCCATCTGGGCAGCCCCCATATCCCAGCACAGGCTGAGCGGAGCGGGAAGGTGCAGACCCCACATGGGACAGTGGGTGCAGCCGTGGCTGGGGGTGCTTCTAGGCGTGGCTGCCCCCTCTCCTCAGCCAGCACGTGGGGGCTGCGAGAGGAGGCTGCAGCTGCCCCTGTGCCCTCACCTCGTGACCTGCTGTCTGCTGCAGAGCTTCCCCCGGGAGGAAGGGGTGGGTGGTGCTGGCAGGGCCTGGCCCATGTGGCAGGTGCAGGGCTGCTGTCGGCCGTGGGCGCAAACGGCCCCAAATGGCCTGATTTGCATAGGGCCTACGCTGGAACAGCCGGGCGGCCCCACCGGCCGGGCCCCCAGGGGCAGCACGAGGCTGGCCACAGCCGCCCAGCCCGGGTGCCTGGGCTCTGTTCTGGGAGCTGCTGGGCCCAGAGGCAGGGCGTGAGACACCCGAGGGCTGAGCCCATGGCCCTCAGGGCAGGCACAGGCTCCAGCTTGCCTGCACGCGGGTCCCCTTTCCTGCCTGGCAGTGGCTCCAAGCAGCACCCTACCAGCTCCATCCCTGGCCCGAGGGTGCTGAGCCGTGCCCGTCTACCCGCCCCCAGAGGTCCTGGAAGAAGGTGCGGGTGCAGCTGTTCGCAGCTGGCCCGTCAGGTGTGGCCCGCATGGAGCAGTTCGCGGTGCGGGACGGTTCAGGGCCCGAGAAGGCATCGCTGCGGCGGGGCGAACGCCGGGTGCTCCGGCTGGCCGACTGCGTGTCCGTGGGGCCTGCCGGCACCGAGGGCTGCCCCCGTGGCACGGCCGCCTTCTGCCTCCGCACCCTGGACAAGAGCCACGTGCTGGCGGCCGAGCAGCCCGACGAGTGGGTGGCGCAGCTCTGCCAACTGGCCTTCCAGGTACGGCAGGCCCTGGCCGGGGGGGCGCGGGCAGCTGCATCCAGCACCATGGAGCCATGTGGGAGGCTCAGGTGATGCTACAGCCCCTCTGCCCCAGCCCCAGCCCCTGGAGGTCCCACGGTCGGGTCCACAGACCTGCCCCTGCTCCACGTCCCGTCCCCCACAGCTCTGCTCCCCAGGGGCTGGCCCCAGCGGGGACGCGGCTCATCTCTGCTTTTCAGGGCACAAAGGAGATGGCTCCAGGCAGCGACAGGGCCTTGCCCAGCTCTGGCCTCCGCATGGAGGAGAACACGATCTACTCGTCCTGGCACGCACGTAGGTGCGGGGGGCCCTGCCCTGGTGAGGTGGCGGACATGCCGTACAGCCGGGGGGTGGGCTGCCATGCCCTCGTGGGAGCCGGGGCTGCAGTGTCAACAGGGGCTCCGTTCCTCCGACAGCGAACGAGTTCCCAGTGCTGCTGCTACGGACAGAGGCCTCCACCCGCTGCGGCCTGAGCGGGCGCTACCTGCTGGCCGTGCTGCCCGAGCGCCTGGTGTTGAAGGAGCTGCAGACGCGGCAGCCGCTGTTCGCCTGGCCCTACCCCTTCCTGCGCAAGTTCGGCCAGGACCAGGTACCGGCGGGGCCCCACGGGCCTGGCACCCCGCAGGGGCAGGGGACGGAGGTCCTGGGGCCCTGGCCTTCCCCACCCCTTACCCCCGTGTGCCCACAGGCTGTGCTGTCCTTTGAGGCCGGCCGCCGCTGCGACTCCGGCGAGGGCGTCTTCACTCTCAGCACGGGCCACGCTGCCGAGATCTGTGGTCTCATATCCGCCGCCATCGCCCGCCAGAGGAGCCAGGAGCCCTGGCAGCACCTCGCCAGTGGCCCTGAGGGAGCACCGCCAGCGTCCTGGGCCCTAGAGGACGGAGGGGCCACGCCGCCCGCCTGGCTCCGGCCCGAGCACCCTCCGCCCCAGCCCCAGCCCCAGCCCCCGCG